GGAGCACCTGCGTTGTTCACTAGGCGGTGGTCTGACTCTTTACGGGTATCACCTGCTCCAGCTCTGGGACGATCTCTGTATTACACAGAAATATTCACCTTTCCACACCACCTTCATGGGGCTTGTGTAACGCCAGCAGTAACGCTAGCAGTGCTTGTACCGCAGCCCAGTGCTCCTATCCTATTAGAGGGAACGTTGCACCCATTCTCCTTTCTGCGTCCCTTACGGGAGTGGAAAACTCTCGTGCTAAGCCGTGCTGCCCAGAGTTTGATTTCGGCAGCGGTCGCGTGTTGAGTAGGCAGACTGCAAGAACAAACAAACATCTGCATTGCAGGAGAGAGAAAAGTTTTAACAAGGCTTTCAAAAGTAGCAGCGTGGAGTTTTGCTGCTACTTGGCTATCTATCTTCCTACAGAGAAGCAGCTTCCTTCAGCCCTGTTGTTTTGTTTATGCAGCTCTATATGAAGGGACAGTTTAGTTTTAAAAACAGAAGGTAGATCTTGCAATTCCCCTACACCCACCCACACCCCTCCCCCCGAAGAATCTTGACGTTTCAGCAGAGGTAGCTACGCTAAAAATTGCTTCCTTCTCCTATAGCTGCCATTTGCAGAGACAGCTGAAATGTCTGTCTGTAGCTAACAGCCCTGGGCTATCATCCCTGGCAGTGACATGAGATATAGATGCTTAAATCATTTTATTTCCTTCTTGTGAGCACATACCATTTTCTTTGCTTTACTTACATGAATAGAAACACTACGCTCTACTGCCTTGTTACCTGTGACAGACAGCCAGGCAGGCAGGTGACAGTGGAGAATGTAACTTGCCCTTTTGTGAGAGCCGCCAGCCGCCAGCCGAATAATGACCTGACCTAATCTACCTGACCTGGAACAGGCTACCCCATCACAGCTGTTCTGTGGGGCCATGTGCTGCTGCTCCAACTGAAAAATAATTTTTTTTTTCCCCAGCAAGATTAGTTTTCTGCTACAATTCAGCACAAGGGACCTCCTCTAATGAACCTGTCTCACCTTTGTTTCCATAGGCTTTTTCTAGCCTCCAGTCCCTACTCTCCTTCAAGCAAGCGCAGGAGGTATACAGAGGTAAGGGGAGAATTTGCACAGCAGTAAGGTGTTGTTGCTGTACTTCCAAGTCCATTCTGGAAGAAAGATGTACCCTTAGAAAGCAAGCTTACCTTGTAACAACACAAGAATAACTTAAAATGGGGTAGCTTGCAACACTTAACACTTTTCATTAATCAGTAACAGCTAAAGGTAACTAACGCCTCCGCTGCACATTGCAATGCCTCAGTTCGGGTGACAACCCAGTGCAGGGGTAGAGCTGGCTAGCGCTCCAGGGCCGGGCACCGGCTGACCCGTGCTGAAGGGGGCCGAGTGTGAGGAGGGCTTCACCGCCCTCCTCAGAAACCAAAACCCCGAACGGGCGCGCGCAGCTCTCGCGGCACGGTTTGTTCAGCTCCGGGTAGCCTGTCCCCCGGCAGAGGCATAGTGCTGCTTCCTCTGGCACTTCAGCGCTCTGTAGGTGTTAGAAGGCAGCTATTAGCCGAGTCACTTCGCGTATAGGCAAGGCCCTCTAAGTTCATCCCAGCTTTCCATATTTGCTGGATGATGAACGCAGTTCAGCTGTACGTGTCTACTAACGCTGTTAGTATAAATCTTAATTTGTTTTTTATACTCTGCAACATTTGTAGAGATTTAACACACGTTTAGTGTCAAAACACCTTGCTTTTTATTTTCATATCCTTTTTGAATCAGGTTAAGCTGTAAACAATTTCTTTTTCAATCAAATACTGCCAGCTAGAATTACTTCCATTCATGCATCACTGAAAACAAAAAGGGTATTTTTCCTTAAGTACAGATTTTTTTTTTTTTAAACAATGTCACTTTATACAGAAACCAATAGCTAGATTCGATGCACCCTGATTAGTTATGTAAACAGATAACCCAAAACCCCCCTTGTCAACAGAACTAATAAGTTGGTTCCTTCATAGAATGGAAATTAAAATCTCTCCCGACTTGAGGTTAACATGGTCAGGAGGAAAGAGCGTGGCACGTAAATCCATCTAGGAGGTGTATAAATTGCACTGTATCTGAATTAACAAAGTTATGCATAATGAAACGCACAGTTTAAATTGATGCTAGAAAGCATTTTTCAATATGAAGTGGCAGCCAACCGGCAACCATAAGAGTTAGGTTCTGCACCATCATTTATGGCATTATAGATAACTATTACATATAGCATACTTTAAAACCCTGAAGGATTGTGTTACTTGAAACATTCTCCAGGCAGTCATTTGGTTTGAAACATTGGGAGAAAGACTAAAGAGCTTGCCATCTTATACCGATTATGGTACCTTTAACTTTTATGAAGTAGATCAGATATGATGTGTATTTCACAGTAACAAAGTTGCTTTAATGCCTTTTCTCCAACAGTAGGATTGTGTTAGATGTTTTTGCCCTCAGTTCACCATTGTCCCGGTGGTTTTCCCTTTTCTTAAGTTTGTGTAACTACATTGAGCACTTTTCCTGGGTTTTAACTATTCATCAGTCCTTTCAGTATATCTTCGGAGAGTTCCAGCAGAGGGAGTTCAGGGGACGGGATGTCCAGGGGGGGAAGGTTGGGTATTGGAATGTCCTTTGCCTTCCCAGCAGTTGTTGCAAACTTCTGCCAAGTTGCAGCTGAAGAAGTAGTTTCTGAGTGTTGCTGCAGACTCCACAACTCTGACTTCTCGACAAAGTCAGCATCTACATCCAACTCCTTGTCTACTGGAGATTTTTGGAGTCTAGCTCTTTCTGCTTTTAACTGCTTATTCTCTCTCCTTAATCGCTCATTTTCAGCTACAAGAAATTCTATGTGCCGTTTCAAATCTGCAATTTTGGTTGCCTGCTCTTCTATTATTGTTTTGTCATCCTTGGGAGCTTTACTCCCAATACATGCTTCTACCGGCTCCTTTTTTTTCTGAAGCAGAAATAATAGTGTATCCGGGTCCCTGTCAAAGACACCCTGAACATCCTGTGGATGTTTCTCTGTGGAAGGGCTGTACTTCTGAGTAACAGGAACCAATACGTTTTGATCCTCAGAGTCTTCAGCAGATGGCTTATAAGAAGTCTGAAGATGTGCAGCTATCTCCTTGTCAGCATTCTGCTGGGCTTTCAGCTTTTCCTCCCTCTTTGCCCTTTTCCACCTCTCCTGGATGAGCAGTAACTGTTTCATGTGACTATCCCTTTGTAATTCCAGTGATAGCTGAGCCTGAGTAAGAACAAGATTAAACAATTTAATTGGTGATCCCTAATCCCACCTGAATATTCATGCACGTAAAGTTACATGCATGTAAATATTTACATAAACAGCATCACAGCATGCCCGAGGGAAGGGGAGGAGCTTTTGTTATTCAGATAGTAAATCCAGCAAGAAGTGATCGCTGCTTGTACAATGCAGCCGATTCAGATATGTCACCCAAATTTAGCATAACTACTAGTACTGTGACGGAGCGAGTTAACATTTGGTCTTTTTGTTTGTTCGGGTTTTGTTTTTAAGTCACTGACCAGGCTATGATAATACCTCTGAGCGGAGGCATTAGGAGTTTAACTGACCTGTGACCAACACCAAGAAGGAAGAGATTCACTTGGCATGCACAGCCACACTTTAGCTAAATAGTACAAACTATTTATATGCTTCTGTGATGGTATCTGCGTAGACATATTAATAACACCCAACACTAAGCCGGAAACTGCTCGAAGGCCAGATATGGTCTCAAATGATTCAGCCATATTTAATGAAGGGGGTGGCATGGTGGTTAATAACGCAGAGGAACCACCTGGGTAAGAGGCTACCATTTTTCTACAAGAATGACCCTTTGGAGGAAAGACAGGTGTCCGATCTCCAAGGGTTATTTGCTTTGATAATATTGGCTAAACTCAAAGCCTGCTGCTACAAAAGTGCTGATCAGACTACACTACTACATTTACAGATAGATTTGTGCAATGAATAAGGAAAGGTATAGGGCTGTTGTTCTGGAGATCCCCAGTCAGGATGACTAAAACCAAAATTACAGCCTGTAGATGAGATGCTCGGCTTTCTGTCTCAGCAAAACAGCCTAAGTGCCTCACAGCAAAAGTTAAATATGAAACTAGTTTTATCACCTACTTGAAGATGCCTTGCAGACTAGAAACCATTGTTGGAGAACCCTCGGATGGGTTAGTAGTTCTCTTGTCCCTGCTCCACATAAACTTCGAAAAACTCTCAAGGAAGACTAGCATCACTGCACTTCTAAACCTCCTGGTGCAGTTGCCATGGGTTCAGAAAACTATGCAGAGGCTAATGCCCAAGAGGGGTATGATCAGTCAGGGCACAATATGACACACAGGCAAACAACAGATCTATGGCTGATTCTGGTGTCTGCTGCACTTTGATCTCACCTGCTCCGACTGGGTCAGCTTCATAGCGTCCGTAAGGTATGCTGCAGAAGAGAAAATTGATAAACACTTAGGACAGGGTTACAAAACCTGAATGTTTCCATAAAAGCTAAGAAAAGGCTTCAGACCTCCCATGTTCTGAATCCCCATATAAAAGCAGCAGTCCAGAGGCAAAGTATGTACCAAGTTACAGTGGCTGGAAACACCTTCTGTTTTTCAAAAGTCTGAAAAAATTATCGTAAGATCATGTAATACATGCTACACCCTTGTCATGGCATTCTGTTGGCTCAGGTTGTTCCAATTTGTTTTTCAGAGGAGAACAATAGCCATTTCCAGAAAGTCCCAGAAGAACAACTTTCCCGTGAAGGAAAGAAACGCAGCTAAGGACCAGACTTTTAACATACAAGCATTTTAAGACAAAATGTGATAAGTAAAATCCTCTCGCCCATGGCACACCAGTATTATGAAGTCATGCTTTTTAATTATATTCTTGATGAAGAGGTATAGTCTGTAGTTCCCTGTTTTTTTCATCAGCTTCCCTTCCAAACCAGAAAAGGTGCTGGCTTACAGTCAGAGCAGCACTTCAGCCTTTGAGCATAGCTTGCTAGTGCTGAAAATGACAAGATACAAGAAATTCTTAACCAGATTCCAAAGGATGTAAGATAATGGCACAGAATCATCAGATGAAGAAAAGCAATAAACATTTAATGCATTTCTGGGTTTTGTCTTGGTATACGAAGTGAAGGAAACCAAAAAGAAAAGTCTGCATATTAGAACGCAAGTGCTATCCCTCGTTGCTCTGAGTATTCATAAATACCAAAGAAATTATCAGTTTCTCGTTTTATGGGATTTTCTAGTATTTATGAATGGAAAGTGAGAATGCCCGGTATCTAGGTTACGATGTTCAGAGCAGCCACTTATTTTGTCTCCGCACAAGCTCTGTCACGGGAAATGTCCTACTTGTTGCATCAATTAAGACCTCCCCTCTCTTCTTCTGCCAAGCAGTTGCCACACTGTCAGCCAGCTGATGGACTCCAACACAAATAATTAAGTGTGACTAGTTAAATAGACAGGTAAATGCACAAAGTCTCACTTAGGAGAGGCAGAGGCTGTCAATTGCAGTGTCAAGGCCTGTGATGCAATCTGCTGTTTTGCTTGAGTCCTGGGAAAGCTGAGCTCATCACCTGTTCTTAGCTGTCTTGATTCAGACATTAGGAAAGGGAAGTAAGTAAACAAGCATTTGTCTAAGTATTTCCTTTATCGACAGAGAAAGCAGGTGACTTCAGCTGTGAAAGCAGTGAAGAAAATACAAAGCGTAAAGTGAAACTGGCTTACAGCAGGTCCCCAACTGCAGTTTGTGCATGACACAAGGTGTTGGCTTCATCTTGAGTCAAGAACTGCCTTCACTGTGATAACCACCCCCAGTCAAAACAACTTTGGAAACGTCTGGCTTTAGCTGCTCATATTAGAGAAAAAGTTTCCAAAAGGGTCCTTGATCTGGACTGAAAAACAGATTCACATTTTAAGAATAAAAAGAATATTTTGTAAGTAACTAGATATTCTACTTAAATGAAGCATGCAAATCTAGAAACTGATTTTAAGAGCTGGAATATGAGAAATACCTACTCACCAGCAGCTTTTTTGTGACAAGAAATTGCTTCTTCATATTTTCCTGCTGCCAACAAACGGTCTGCTTTTCTGCTCTGCTGGTGAGCCTTAAAATAAGAAGAGCATTACGTCAATGAGGGTTAACCAACAAATAGTTATACCTGTTTTAAAAGTAATCTGTACATCTAAGAAACTACTGATTCCAATTCTCAGGCTTTTAGGCTCCCACTCCCTTCCAAACTTTATAATTTGATTTCTTTTTTAATACTACCTTACAAGAATCTGTACTATACAGGTAAGAACTGAAGTTTGTTAATGCAGCAAAGATGGTGTGTACACAACAAAATCCTTTTGGAGCTGTTCCTCAGAAAGTACGTGTTCTCCTTTATAGGCAGGCGTTCACTGTAGTCATGTAAAAAGACCAGTAAGGCCATAAGAAGCTATGAGAAACTGTAAGTGTTTAGGACCAATTTACCTGGCAGAATGCAAGATATTTGAATTATGTTACAGCTTACAGCTGGTTTGGCATTTTCTGCTGCCCCATGCCCAAGAGGCTCTTGGGTGAAGAAATTGCAAAAGATCTTGTTTTTTTTATTTGCAGCTTACACCAATTAATGGAAGCAGCAGAGCTATAGTTAAAGATATCAGTCACGTTGTTGCTGTACAAGAGTTAAGTCTATACTAGCATTTGTAAACCATAGTGTAAACAACTAAGGTAGACTAAGGATGCTGCTGAAATCAAGCAATTGATGGAAGTATTTGCTCAGTGAGAAACAGTATTGCATAACCAGCACTGCAACATTCACGAAAGCAAGTCTTTTTGCCATTACTACAAGACATGAATTTTACGGTCCTTCCTCCAAGACCAGCTATGTAATACGAAAGGCTACAACCACTAACTGGCAAGGCTGTCAGTAACACAGACTATTCACGACTGCTTTACTACGTGTTGAGTTTGAAGTAAACAGACATCAAGTACCGGGCACTGATTCCGTGAAACAATACAAGACACTTACTTAGGAATCTGAAGAAAGTGTTTGTCTGTTTCTTTGTTTTTCAAGATTACTGTTTCTCCTGAGAGCCTTTACCAAATCCATGCTGACTGAACCTGTAGGTTCAGGGGAAAACAGAGCTGAAAGCCTGAAATCTGCCTCTGTAATTCTGTCTCTGACCCATACAAATTCTTTATTCCCTCTCTTCACCCAAATAAAGGCATAAAACATATCAGACTTCAGATGTTTGGCAAATATAAGTCACCGACTCACTTTAAGCATGTTCCAGGAGCAACATAAAAATGAGAGTATTTGTCCATATCCTAAGATGTTAGAACAGCTGGTTTGCTACAGGCCTTATGGAATTACACTTTTCTCTGCCTCCTGCAGAGAAGCATCATCAAAGGTCAGATAATCCAACACGATGGTAACGTGATTCTATCAGGACTAACATGATACATATGCTAACATCCATTTTAAAAATAAGTTCCAAAATGCAGATCGATTTGTCATCTTTGTCCTCCAAACTGACATATCATCACCTACAGTGTTACAGTAGGTGTAACAAAAAAATTTGCTACCAGAGTTTTAGCAGCTCTGACACCACAGAAGAGAATGACTTCTACAGAAAACACTCATGTTCTTAAGCAATCCCTAGCAATTATATCACTGCATTTAGACATTTAGCTTTTCTAAAACTGACTTCATATGCTAATATGGAGTGTTCTTAAAAAAAAAAAAAAAAAAAATCACACAACAACCCCTCCTTGACTCTTCACAACGAATATTTCAGTTATATTCTTCTTCTTCACCTTCATTCAATCCTCACAGCACTGTCAGCATTCCCTGTTTCTTCTGCCCTGAGGTTAAATAATCTCAGAAGAGGAATTGTTTTTCTATTGGAAAATCATCTATTTTATGACCTTTTTCTATGGACTCCTACAAATGACATATGCTGGAAAGATAAACTTATTTCCCATGGGAATGAACAAACAGTATCAGCTCATATAGAGCCATCTCCTTGGTTATTCATGGCAGCTCATCCAGTTACAAATTAGCTATGTCATGGACATAAAAACACCTGAGCTAGCTCCTTGCAAAACAATTTTTCAATAATTTAGTATTGATACAGCTGCTTCTGCAAACTGCACGGGCAGGTCTA